AGAGCTCTCTCACACCTCTTTCTATTTCTCTTCCTTGGACAGTTTTAAATATTTCTGAATTTTTGTTTTCCTCTATCTGAAAAATTAAAATCAAACTTTTTTTCTTTCTTTCAGTGTGTCTTTTTGTGATTTTTTTAATTTAATTTTTTAACTCGAGCGAGGAAAATCCAACAAAATCTTTGGTTCCTATTTACGTGAGAAAAATAATTCTTTTGTGCCGTGCTTTTAGGGTTGAAAATTTGAACTTTTCGTATTTTGAAAATGAATAATAATGTTAATAAATTGAGATTTCTGAAAATCCGGTTGGGGCCTATATGCGAATATCATTAGAGAAAAATATTCCTAAATCGAATAAATAATAGAGGAGAAAATCCGTACATAGGAATCGAGAAAAAAAAAATACCATAGAGACAGATCATGAGATAAGCTAATGAGTCAAAGTCTCGTCGTGTGAAACTGAAATGACTGTTGTTAAGCTGATTTTGGTTTACCATTACGATTCACACTATCGGTTTAAACTAAACCGGTTCAGTTGGTACGTATAATTCAGGTCCGTTCAGTACACTTAATAGTTTATTTATATCTCCATGTTTCAATGTAAAACATTAGGTTACGAGATCTAAAATTCACAAAGATTTTTATTTTTTAGGATAAATGCACCATTACGTTTAGACCAAGAATTCTGATATTTATTTCGTACTGTATATCTTATGTTCTGCTAAACCACATTATGTTTATCTAATTTCGACCGATGTAATATCCACATTACAAACACTACACATGTTAAATTAGGCTGAGATCGAAATTAGAATTTTTGATGTTAAAAAAATATTAAAATCGATTTTTCAGGATCCGAATAGGGTTGACGAGAAAAATTTATATACGCCTAAATAGTAAGTAAGTGTACATCCATCTGACTCTAGAAAATAATGTTATATATAACTTTTGATTCCACTGTAAAAATAAAACTAATCAATCCAATTAGACCTCCAAAAAAAACCCAAAGAGAAAAAGGTGATGTTATTTATTTATATCACTTTTTTAATAGAAAAGAGAGGAAGGTGGACAAATAATAATGCATTGACGTCCACATTAAAATTAGGATTCGCGGGACCCACGGAAATCTAAAAGAGGGACCCATTAATATTTGTTGGAACATTTCTTTTTTAAGGCATTGGACTTTTCCTCTTTCTTTTCCAAACATAATTTGCTGTTTCACTCTTTAGACACCACACCGTATCAAATCTTGGAGATTGCTTTTACTTTGTCTTTCCCACCCAAAATTAATTTAGTTATTATAAATGTACTGTTTTTTTTCCTCATAGAAAAATAAAAGACTACTTTTTTTTATCAACTTAACTTATTAAAATGTTTTTTTTTCTATCTGGTGAATTTATTGATAACTTCAAACAGAAATACAAATGATAATGTTCAATCCCTAAACAGAAGAGCGATCTACACATATCTACAACATACCCATGACTATAATCCGAGACTAGAATAAACTTGGAAGGCTATAATATTGAAAACCATAAACATGAAGAGTCATAATAGATGGATAAGGATCCTAACCATTCCTGAACTTTTTCGTTGATACTCAACCCAATATCATCGAGGGAAAACTCTTGATATGTATCACCGCAACCCAACTTATTAAAATGTTTAAACGAAAGAGTTTTTTGGGGATAGTAAAGAGGTATTATTACAAAATCTCTTTATTTTTATAGTTAGAATCATATGATATGGGTCTATTATATTTTTGGAATGGAAAAACTTTTTATATCCATTAAAAACATGTTTTTATGTTAGTTTGACGTACACGAACAAAAAAATGTAAACACATTTTGATTATTTGGCTCTTAACTTTTATTGTTTAGATAAACAATCTCATAAATTTTCTTTTCCTTTCGGTAAAGAGAATGTGAAAGTCTTCATTTGTTGAAAGAAAATATTAGATTTCACGGCTGTTTAGGAAATAATCGATCATAGTCATCAATGATCGTATATGTCTAGTTTTAATTTCTCTAAATTGTCCAATTTTTTTCTACATTAACCAAAATTTATTAAGGTAGAAAGAAAAAAGAAAAATTCTCAACGAGGCGTGAAGCAAATATTTACAATTACAATAGTTATGCCATTTTTATTCTTTTAATTTTGATAACATTACATATAGAAACTCTGATTGATATCCGAAACATAACAAAAAAAAATCGAATATGTTGTCATTTAAAACGCTATCGTGAATTACACAATTTAAAAAAAACAATTAGGCCAAATTTAAGATTGATTTGTGAATTGATTATTCAAACGATATGGGCCAACGAATGATGGATCAAATCTTCATGATGTCAACTAGAAATCGAGGGTTGGAAAAAAAAATCCATAATAGTAGTGATCGACGTGTCGCATATAAAATCAAAGTATATCTTTTTTCTATGAACTTTGAACATCAATAAAAAAAATTAAGACATTGACATTTCCCCTTTAATAAATTTTATTTTGGTACTTGATTGAGGTTCGGAGCATCTTTATTTTCTAATTATTATTGTAAGTATTTTCTCAGTCTCTTTCTAACCCCTCGTATATTAAAAATAAAAGCATGCATACTTATGTGACCCAAAAAAAAAGCATACTTAAAACACAATAAAAGTAACTAATTAGTTGACCTAATTATACAATATACTATAGTATTCGAAATCCACAAATACCGAATGAAATCAAATATATTTTTTTTATGTCAACGACTATATTTTGTACCAGTTCACATGGAGACCCACTTTTAGTCCATGCATGCATGTAAATGGGTCAAATTCCAAATGTCCAATGTGCTTATGTGCATATTAGATGCTTATTTTGATGGGTTTCCATTCGAAAACCATTTGAAAGTAGTGGATTTGGTTCATTGTCATATGTTATTTGATGTTTAATCTTAAATGTGGGATTCATAACACGCTACTTCGAAATGATACATATTTTAGCTATTCATTTTTATCAAAATATTAGAATATGATCCGTGTTAATATGCAGGTAAATATAATAAAAATTAATAAAATAAATATTTAAATTTCAATTAGTAATCCGTTAAAATTTAAAATACTATTTAACGTGAATTCTAAAACATGTATAAGTCAATTTATATCATAATTATCAAATTTTAATTCATATTATGCAAATCTAAAATATATAGTCGTAATTTAAATCATATTCTTAATAACAGAGAAAATATATATATTTTAACCCATTATGAATATCTATGAATTATGTGACTGAAAATAAAAACAGTTAAAATACTATATATTTAAATTAGAATAAGAACATTTTATGTTAGAAAAACTTCATAAAAACTATAAATAATGTTGTGAACCTTCACATAAATACATGATTGATAATTGTATTTTACTAATGTCATCGTTTTATTTTTCATAGAGATTTATTATCGCCAAACTTTATACAGTATTAACTTAATAGTAAATATAATATTATTATTTTTTAACTTATATAAATTTTCAATATATACACTTGGAGAGTACCAATGACGTAATAAGTCGAAATTTTTCATTTTCTTTATGATATTCTATAACTCTATATTGATACATAAGTATTATCATAGATTTTTTTTTTGCATAGTTGTGTATATCTTTAAACTTTTAAATTGAGATTTCTCTAACC